CTAATTTTAGTAGAGACAGGGTTTTGCTCTTGCTCAGGCTGGTCTTGAACTCCTGACCTTAAGCGATCCGCCCGCCTCAGCCTCCCAGAGTGCTAGGATTACAGGCATGAGCCACTGTGCCTGCCCATTTCCACTTTCTGAGTTCAGGTACAATAAAGCCTTTAGCAAAACTACGGGCTCTTTGCCTATAACAGTCTCTACACTTACCTTGACCCTGGTATAGTCTTTTAGAATAAACCTCTTTAGAGGAATGAATTAGGTAGATGAAGAGGCTCAACATTCAGAGTAGTAATTTAGCATTAATCTGTTCTTGCTTTGATGTGGTTTGATCCTCCAGCACTCCTGCTGGGAGTCTTTGACACAGGCCTCTTATCCATTGTCTTTACCAAGGGCTATTCTGGTAAAGACAATGGTTCAGCACTTCTTCCTTCTTTCAACCTCTCCAGCTTAGAGCTGAACATCATGTAATCTATAATTTCTAGAACAGTATTGTTGTAGTGCCTTTTGTATTAGTCAGGATAGGCTAGGTTATGCTGCTGCAAAAAAGAAATCTCAAGTTTCAATGGTTTTAACAAAACCAAACATTCTCATTCACCCAAAGTCTGCTGCAAGACCAGCACCTCTCCAGTTAGCTGCCCGCTGCAATGAATTCCAAGAGCCTGGCTCTTTCCAACAGGTGGCTCTGCCATCTCAGTACAAGGCCGAAGTGCACCACAGCAGTGCAGAGAGAGCTGGAGGGCTGCACAGTAGTTCTTAAATGGTTGGTTTGGCCTGGGGGTGACACCTAACTCTTCTCCTTCCAGCCCATTGACCAGAACCAGTCAAATGGCTCTGCCTAACTCTAAAGGAGTTAGGAAATATGGGGAAACACATTCTGTGAGCTGGAGATGTCTTTGTCTTTTTCTCATTAATATATCACACCCTGCAATCCTGTCTCTTCCTTTCCCGGTTTAGTCAAAGCTCATCCACTTGTACTTTGTACTTTTAACCTTCTATCTCTAAACCAACTAATTATTGCTCAATCCAATTCTTGTTCTTTGCAGCGTTTTAACCTCCTGCCAGATGACCCTGCCTCTGTTCTTTCACTTGCATGTCTCGAGGTTGGAATGTTTTCTCCCTCTTCTCCAGGCCCACTTTCGAATCTTGTCATTTTCCAGGAGCTATCCAGCTGAAAATGGTCTGGAAAAATCCCCTAAACTTTCTGAAATTGGCATTATTAAGAGCGAGAAACACTCTTTCTTTGGAGTGTGGTGAAGAAACGAAGACAGGAGAAACACTAAAGGAATAAAAGCAGGTTGAACAAATCTTCTGGGGAAGCCAGGTCAAGGAGTAATTCCTGGTCCACTGTCTTCCTAAGACAGTTTCATAGAGGTCAGATGCAAAGACCTCTGAGAAAGGGCCCCATCACTCTCCGGCAGAAGTAGGTCTTCCTCTCCCACAGTTTACACATGTCCTGGTCAGAATGAGCATGAATGTCATGCTTTTGTTTTTAATTAAACACACTATAAAATCAGTATGTAAGGAAACATAAAAGAAAGGAAAATTCATCCTCCCAACCTAAGAACTATCATTGATTACAACTTCTTTCCAGCCTTTATTTTTTTCCATGTTTGTGATTATACCAAACATACAACTAGCAAATAAGTAATTCCTTCTAAAGGTATGTATGCCTGAGAAGATAATACATAAAGTTAATGACTTAGTCATTTACATCTTAGTAAGAAATAGCTTAGGAAGCTCTTTTCTTTTTTCTTTAATAACTGGTCGGGATCGGTACGCTAAAGGTTGGGTACAGAAAGAGGAGCAGGGGAGGAGGAGAGGGTGAGCCAGTGGGAAATACTGCATATGAGACTATGGGTAGCTTATAGTAGTGATGGCCATTAGGTCTTTGGGAATGGAGGGCAAATGGGGGCAGAATATCAGAATTAGGAAAAGTAGCAAAAAGGGGAAATGGTTGGCTTCAAAAGCAAATTTTGCCAGCCTAAAAATTTTAAGATCACAGATCTAGCAAACAGAACCTTTAAACTCACCTATTCTGACTCCCACCTTGTGTTTACCTTGAGTACATCCCTGCCATGTGCTGCCTAAGCTAAACTTGAAAATGCCAGTGCTGGAGACTCTACTTCCACTATTTCCCAAGATTCCCCTAACCATTTTTAGAAAAAGCCATTGATTTAGAGAAAAAAGTTCTCGGGCAGGAACAGAGGCTCATGAATGTAATCCCAACACTCTGGGAGGCTGAGGCAGGAGGATCAGTTGAGCACAGGAGTTCAAGACCAGGCTGGGCACATAGCAGGACCCCATCTCTACTAAATAAATAAATATAAATATATATACAGAGCGAGCGAGTGAGCAAGAGAGAGAGAGAGAGAGAAAATTTAGAGCTAAGGTTCAGTGCTTAAGGGAGGAGGTTGTGGCATCTACAGGTTCAAGGTGATTCGAGCTCCAGCCAGGATGATCAAGCTTGTTTGCAATGACCATCTGGGGAAGAGGGTCTGCATTAAATGCAACGAGGCAGATGACACCATTGAAGACCTTAAGAAGCTGATTGCAGGCTGGGCGCGGTGGCTCCGCCTGTAATCCCAGCACTCTGGGAGGCCAAGGCAGGCGGATTGCTCAAGGTCAGAAGTTCGAAAACAGCCTAAGCAAGAGGGAGACCCTGTCTCTACTAAAAATAGAAAGAAATTAGCTGGACAACTAAAAATATATAGAAAAAATTAGCCGGGCATGGTGGCACATGCGTGTAGTCCCAGCTACTCGGGAGGCTGAAGCAGAAGGATCGCTTGAGTTCAGGAGTTTGAGATTGCTATGAGCTAGCCTGAAGCCATGGCATTCTAGCCTGGACAACAGAGTGAGACCCTATCTCAAAAAAAAAGAAAAAAGAAAAAGAATCTTAGCTTACATTTATTAAATACATATGCCAGGCACTATTCTAAGTGCTCTGTGTGTATTACCTCATTTAACCTTCACAAAAATGCTATGAGATAGGTACCCTTGTTCTCAACTTCATCTTACAGAGGAGGAAACTGAGGCATAGAAAGTAACCTGCCTAAGACTTTACAGCTAGTAAGTGGCAGAAGCAAAGGTCACATCCTAGTAACTAACACTGTAACCCTTGCACTCTTTCAATCACTCTTGTTTGTATGCTTGGCTAACATTTTGAACTTTAACATTCATACAAAGCAGTGAAGAATACATCTCTTTGAGTCGTGCTTTCTACTAGTTTGATAGTGAACAGCAGACTGGTATCTCCTTATGTGCAACATTTGCATTACATTAGAATGGGCCATTAGCGGAGGATATATGCTTTCTAGGTCCTTCCAGACCTAGGGACTCATGTCAAACACATGATATTATTGGGCTTCCACTCAGGAATTTGGGACACTGGAGGTGCAATGGGGCACTGAGCTGAGAGTCCAACAAACTTACACCTGACTGTGGATGATTTCTCAATTGTAAAATGAGAGAATTGGACTCCACTCAGATAGAGCCGGCTAAGGGACCTCTTAATGCTGAAATCTCATGTCCAAAGGAGTAACTCTGTCCCTGGGAGTTTCCAGCACTGTGGCAGATGGAGAGAGCAAATATATAACTTGAAAGAAGCAGACTCTCTGGTGCCCCTTGAGTCACATATTACGTTGAAATGAATCAATGAGTACTTGTTCCTTCCTTTTGATGTCTGAGGCTGTTGATTGGCAATGGTTACTATGCTTAGGTTTTCAACTGGCTCTGTTGCCCCTGCTAAAAATAAGCCACCAGCATTAGGGCTGAGTCATTTTCATACATGAATATGTGGAGGAAAAAAGTGACAAAGGTCATACAGGCTCTGTGGATTATTTCCCTTCTGACCAGACACCACCCCTTGTTCTCAACCAGCCCCTCTTTTTCTGTTTTATTTCAGATAAGCCATACACCTTAAATAGAAAACATACTCAACAGCATGTTATTGTGCTTCGGTTTGTTCATATCCTGTTCTCTGCTTGTGGATGGGACTTGTCCTTAGATCTGGCTTTTTACTTTTCTCAGGAATAGAGGTTGATGTTAACAACATTTGTAACTGGATTTTACAGTTTGCAAAGTGATTCCATATACACCATTTATTTATTTTTGAACAAGTCTTCTGCTTGTTGTCCAGGCTAGAATGAGTGCAAGGGTCAGCCTAGCTTGCAGCAACCTCAACTCCTGGCTGAAGCATCCTTCTGCCTCACGCCGTCTGAGTAGCTGGGACTACAGACATGCGGCCACCATGCCCGGCTAATTTTTCTATATATGTTAGTTGGCCAATTAATTTCTTTCTATTTATAGTAGAGTCGGGGTCTCGCTCTTGCTCAGGTTGGTTTCAAACTTCGGACCTCGAGCAATCCGCCCGCCTTAGCCTCCCAGAGTGCTAGGATTACAGAGTCTTACTTTGTTGCCCAGGCTAGAGTGAGTGCCATGGCGTCAGCCTAACTCACAGCAACTCAAACTCTGGCTCAAGCAATCTCCTGCCTCAGCCTCCCAAGGTAGCTGGGATAAGGCATGTGCCGACAGCCCGCTGATATTTTTTCGGTAATATTACGTATTAGTTGGCAATCTATTGCTTCGGTATTTATGAGTAGAGTCGGGTCTTCGCTGAGTGCTCAGCTGTTTCAAACTCCTGACCCGGCAATCCGCGCTCGCTCGCAGAGGGCAGGATTACAGGCGTGGCCACCGCCCAGCCAATTAATTCTTTTTTTTTTTTCAGAAAACTCATTGGTTATTTCCAGTCAGGCCTGTATTTGCCGATTTTGAAGAATGTTTCGTAGAACTTGAAGAGCCACGCAGTTGTTGTTCCCCACCTATTCTAGTGGGCCTGAGGCAGTGGACTGTCAGACCAGTCTTCCGTGGCAGGGTCTGGCGCCCAGTCTGCAAGTGGGGAACCTGCTGACGTAGGCACAGAGGACCCTTGCACGCCTTCGAGACCAGTCTGCATAGCTCGGGCTGAGTAGCAGATATGACGGTCAGTGAGCTGGAGCTGGTCATCACCTGAAATCCTCTTGGTCACACTTCGTACGGCCGGCAACTTGCTCTTCTTTTTCAGACTCTTCGGATCTTCTGTATGAAGTAGAGATCAGGCAGACTTCCCGACGGTGGTCCGGGAGAGATGGTGCCACGCATGGAGGACTTCCGGGCCAAGCATCACCACATCAGGACCGCACAGGAGTGAGCCCCCTGTGTTTGTGCTGGATGGCAGATGTCCACGTGAACGCAGAGGTAGGAATCTTGTTGACACAAGCAGGATGTATGGACAGGTGGTAAGTCAATAAGACCTCTCGTGAGGGCTGGCGGTCAGCCCTGGGGTCAGTAACCACCAGAAGACGCGGCTCCCGGAACGCTGCCTGGATCTGGCTAGTGAAGGTTCCAGGAGTGAAGCGGCCAGCAATAGGAGTGGCTCCAGTGGCAGCAGCAAACTTCAGCACAGCTCGCTGGCCAGTATTTCTGGAGGATGTGACACTGACATCAGCAGGGTTTTCAATGGCAACAATGGCACGAGCTGCCAACAGAAGCTTCTCCCAGGTCCTCTTCAGATTTATGATGTAGATGCCATCAGTTTTCCTTTTGTAGATGTATTGTTCCATTTGGAAGTCAAGGTTGGTGCCACCTAAGTGGGTTCCTGCTGCAAGGAATTTGAGGACATCCTCCTCCTTCATTTGCAGGACATCAAGGGCTCCGGACATCGTGAAAGTTTCCCTTTAAGTTACGACGGGAATCCAGAACAACGCCATATGGGCCCCTTCCTCGGGTAGCATGGAAAAGCCAAAATTAATTTCTTAACTGTGATGGATTTGCAATGTCATCCCTAGTGAACTCTATCTAAAGACTCTTTTGGATGGGCTCTGGGTTCGTGTGATCTTTCCTAAAATTCTTTCTTTCTTTCTTTTTTTTTTTTTTTTTTTCAGACATAGTTTCACTCTGTTGCCTTGAGTAGAGTGCCGTGGCATTAGCCTAGCTCATTGCAACCTCAAACTCTTGGGCTCAGGTGATCCTCCTGCCTCAGCCTCCCTAGTAGCTGGGACTATAGGGGTGCCAACATGTTCAGCTGGCTAATTTTTCTATTTTTAGTAGAAACAGGTTCTCATTCTTGCTCACGTTGGTCTTAAACTCCTGAGCTCAAGCGATCCTCCCGCCTCAGCCTCCCAGAATGTTAGGATTACAGGCGTGAGCCACAGCACCCAGCCCAAAATTCTAATCTATACCTTTCACATCTATTTACTTAAGAGATTCAAGTGAGGGGGCAAAATTCAGGTTTCCTGGTGGCAAGTCTCACTGGATGCTCACTGGAAGTCTCCTTGCACTTGACTACTCTCCCACAAGGACAATGGAGACTTCCTTGATGACCTTATGAGACTGTTAGATGTTAACCATCTGGGAGATGGAATTATCCAGGCAATTTTAATTTTCTTGTCTGTGCTTTTCTGCATTTAGCAAATTTTCTATAGTGAGTATGTGTTTCTACCATAATTGGGAGGAAAAAACCCAAGCAACCCAACATTTTGAAGACATATCTTTTTTTTTTTTTTTCAGACAGAGCCTTGCTCTGTCACTCAGGCTAGAGTGTAGTGTTGCCATCATAGCTCATTGCAATCTCAAACTCCTGGCCTCAAGCAATCCTCCTGCCTCCGCCTCTCAGAATGCTAAAATTACAGGTATGAGCCACCTTGTCTGGCCTGAAAACATGTCTTTTATTCTTGGTATGAACTTCAGCTTTATGTGTAAAAACCATGGTGAGAGGTGATGATGGGCTTCCTCTCCATCCACTGAACCCAAGTCAGAAGGAAGTGGAGACAGAAAATAGACCTGAACAAAATATGACCAATAGCCTTGGCTCCATCAAAAATAGCCTTAGGCAAGTACAATAGCTCAGGCCTGTAACCCCAGCACTTTGGGAGTCCAACAAGTTCAAGAGCAGCCTGGGCAACATATCGAGACCTGTGTCTACACAAAAAATTTAAAAATTAGCTAGATGTGGTGGTGTGCACCTGTAGACCCAGCTACTAGGGAAGCTGAGGGTCGCTTGAGCCTAGGATTTCAGGTTACAGTGATCAGGCCTCTGCACTCCGGCCTAGGTGACAGAGGGAGACTTTGTCTTTAAAAAACAAAGGCAAAAACAAAACAGCCTCAGATACCAGAATTCCTGCGGCAGCCATATGTTCAGCCTTCTCTTCTTAGATGCAATTTCTGCTAGTCCAAAGCTCTTGGTGGGGGTAGGTGTGGAGCAAAATGGAATAGTTCTTGTCCAGAAGCCTTCTAATTTCAACTTGAATACCTTTACCCATCTTGTCTTGGCACATCAAAATGGCTTACAAAGGAAAAACTGAGGACTCAGAAAAATACTCTGGCACTTTTCAAAAGTCTGGAATCCCATCTCTAGACTGCCTCACCAAGCATGTTCTAGTTTGTGTGGAGTAATGAATCACTTATCATTTCATACTGCCATGACCAGTGCCTTGCACCCTGGGAGCCCTCTCTTTCTCTTCTTTTTCGGTGACTCTCTCTCTCCAGGTGGGAAAATGTAGTTTGTGAAACCAGAAGAATTGATTCATGTAGAAATAAATGTAAAAGTTCCAGAAGGCTGGACAAACAACAAGACTAGTAATTTCAGCCTTCTGATGATTATAGTTATTGTGCTGAGGAAGAAACTCCTCCCTTCCTACTCTCATTAATTTCTCTCCCACTGCCCCCATGACTGTCTTCACTATTTTTGCAAGGCCAAGGAATCTCTTGACATGGAATTTCCTTCCCTTTAGAAATCAAAAGTAAACACTTAACTCTAAAGTCCATAAAGTACCTAGTTTTTCCTTACCAACTCTTAGTCTTATGGTTTGGTGCATTGGCTCACACCTATAATCTCAACACTTTGGGAGGCTGAGGTGGAAGGATCCTTAGAGGCCAGGAGTTCAAGACCAGCCTGATCAACATAGTGTGACCCTGTCTCTACAAAAATTAGAAAAACTAGCTGGGTGTGGCAGCATGCACTTGTGGTCTCAGCTACTCAGGAGGTTGAAGCAGGAGGATTGCTTAAGCCCAGGAGTTTGAATTGCAGTGAGCAGTGAAGATGCCACTGCACTCTAGCCCAGGAAACGGCAACAGAGGGAGACCCTGTCTCATAAAAACAAAAAAACAACAAAACCCTCTTAGTCTTTAATGATAAGCTCAGCCCTTGGAGGTTAGAGGTGAGTCTTGGGAATCTATCCAGCCAGTTGAGTATAGGAGGTAGTATAACTGGCTATATAATTAGGAGTTCACTAACGGGTCTTGTTAGAGGCAAGGACCCTCAAAGACCCTCAACTCCCCTATGACTCGTCCTACGCACGGGCTTCGCCCTGGAAAATTCCAGCTATAGCTCCGAGAAGAATGCATTCCATGACGTGCTGACCATGGGATGCTCCAGGGAGTGCTAACTGCAATTGTTCCCGACCACTTGCCAGGTTGGAGATGAGTAACCAGTCACAAACAGCTTCGATACCGATAAGACGCTGATTGGGGCTGATTAGCCCAAACCCAAGACTCATCGTCACCCCACTCTATTTTTCTGTTTCTACTTCCTTGTTTCTGTATGCTTATAAAACCTACAAAGAATCTAAGTAAAGTAGACCTTGACAACCCTTTGCTTGGTCTCGTTCCTTTCTCTCGCCCATCTCTTTCAGGCACGGTCCCCCTTGACCCCACGAGTAACAGAAGGTCCCGAGGGCCAGGACAGGGTCTAAAATTTCAAGGCCCTGTCTCCTGTCATTCCTACTTACAAGAGAATCTTAGGATTTTAGAACTGTAAGAAACCTTTACAAAATCTCTAATAAACACCTTCATTGTACAGATGAAGAAGCTGAGGCTCACAGTCCCTATAGCAGTGACTGTCAACCTGTAGGTACTTAGCAACTATTAATATTTGCTTAGTAACTATAATATTTGCTCTCTTTTTCCTTGCCTAAGTTATTCAAAATGACCAGTCCATATTACGATAAAAATTTCCCAATTTCAACACCATTTTCTTCCCACTGTATCACATTGAATTTTGTGTTTCCATTGGGTCTACTATAAAGTCATTATAGCCATAAATTTTATTTCACTTATTTTTTAAATGCCTATTGAGATATAATTCACATACCATACAATTCACCCATTTAATGTGTAAAATTAAATGCCTTTTAGTATATTTATTTGTTTATTTTTTGAGACAGGGTCTCATTCTGTTGCCCAGACTGATGTAATGGCAGGATCATAGTTCATGATAGCCTCAAACTCTTGGGCTCAAGTGATCCTCCCACCTAAGCCTCCTGAGTGGCTGGACCCACAGGCACATACCATCACACTCAGGTCATTTTAAAAATTTTTTGCAGAGATGTGGTCTTAACTATGTTGCCCAGGCTGGTCTCAAACACCTGGGTTGATCCTCCCACCTTGGCCTCCCAAAGTCTTGGGATTACAGGTGTGAGTCACCGTACCAGGCCTTCTTTTAGTATATTTAGTGTGTACTCATCACTACAATCAATTTTATTTATTTATTTATTTAGAGACAGAGTCTCACTCTGTTGCCCTGAGTAGAGTACCATGGTGTCAGCCTAGCTCACAGCAACCTGAAACTCCTGGGCTCAAGGGATCCTCCTGCCTCAGTCTCCTGAGTAGCTGGGACTACAGGTGCACACCACTACACCCAGCTAATTTTTCTACTTTTAGTAGAGACTGGGTCTCCCTCTTGCTCAGGCTCGTCTTGAACTCCTGAGCTCAAGCAATCCTCCCAGAGTGCTAGGATTACAGGCATGAGCCACCACGCCTGGCCTGAATTTTATTTTAAACAAGTAAATGTGATCCATGATCACTACCAGAGACTTAAAATCAAGACATAAATATATCTCATAGCTTTCAATGTTGAACTTATAACTGAAGAAGCATACTTATGAAGAACACTTAATTATAATCTCATACTCGAGAATCAACATTTTTTCCACTGAATTCTATGTGTATGATAATATTGCAGAAAGACAAAGTAAAGCCTTGCCCTAAATTTTCCTCCTCTTCTGTCTCCCAAGAAAATAGACGCACACTTATAGATTGCCTGAGTGACAGCCCTCAGGAAGAGAAAAGAAAACAGAAACTCAGATCAAGACTTTTTCTTGTTTTCAAATGTGAGGTTAAGAAGAGAAAGGGCACTTGGGGCTCACACCTAACCAGCTGGTCCGCATTCCTATAACCCAGACATACACACAAACAATGTAAGGGTGGATGTGAAGTGCAGGTGAGAAAAGGAGACAGCACAGGCCACAAATTCAGTCCTGACACTTAGCAGTATTTTCATCTTTGTCCTTTTGCGTTTATATATTTGCTCTCGCTCAACCTCCATACTGTTTTTGTGGGTCTCTAGGCGGGTCATTCGTGGGAGACTTGTTCATGCGTGGTGGGAAGAACTTGAACTTGTAAACACCAAGTTGGGGGTATTTATCATCTGGGGAGGTGGTCGATTCCACCATTAAACCCTTTTTTATACAAGTCCTGACTTCCCTCTCTGAGTCGGGATGGAGAACTCCTGAGTCACCCGAGGCAGAGAGAAGGGACTTTTCAGAGTGTCTTCCTCCTTATATGCAGCAGCTAGATGAGCACACCGGGAAGCGATCCTTGCCTCAGCCTGCCCTAGGCTTGGGTGTGTCACTCCCCACCCGTGATGCTCTTCCCAGCCCGGCGGCGACCTCAATTATCATGGGACTTGCTCACTCCAGTGACTCCACTTCTTTCCTCCTCCACTCCTCAACCTCCCACTT